TACTTCTTTATTGATTCAGTATCACTCTTGAACAGACAGTGACTCTTCCTAAATTAAAATTTAAAAAACAGGATCATTTAGATTACACAATGATAATATAATACGTATTGCATACAATGTAATTATAGTATCAGTATACATGCATTATGCTAGGATTCATGTTTGCCACTTAGAGTATTAGCTAACCTCAGGTAATACCATCACTAATAGACCTTGCTTTAATTCAATTGTTTCCTAATGTACAAGTAGAACAGCATCAAAAATGTGTCTGTGTAAATTTCTCAAAATTTTACACTATAATGTGTACTTTAGCTATACACGTACTTTCTCTTTGCTACTGATAGCATCTCTTAGTCTACATTCAGCTTCTTTAACCTTTTCTTTTAGTTCCTATATACAATACAATATTCATTAAACAATATTCAATTATTCATATTATGTACCTTTTTTCTAACATCTTGTCTCTTCCATAATGTTAAGTTACCAATAGTCAGTTTCTTTAATCCTTGTCCCATTAGTATATGAATATTCTCTATCATCCTCAATACAGTAAACCCAACATCAGAGAAAGGAAAGGAGCAAGTCACAGATATTGAAGTGGAGGTTTCTATATACTTAATGACCAGTAGTTTACCAGATACTTTTGATAAAATGCCCTTGATATCCTTCAGTACATGTTCCACTGGCTCCCAGTCAAAGATAAAAGTAACTGTTTCACATTGAAGATGAGAAACAGAGTCAAATCTTTTGTCCAAGCAAAGACTAACTGATATTGATCTGTAGAATTCCTTTAACTCAGTTCTATATGCCTCAATGTGTTCCTTTGCTTCAGTAATCTCCATTTCTTCCACTATGCTATGAAGTAGTTCTATGTTAGTCAGTGAACATTCGTCTTTAATATGACGAAGGATGCTAGAAACATCTGAACATTGTTCAACTTTTTTACTGAGGGAAGTGCTGTAACAAGAGAGGAACTCTTTGATGTCATCCACATCCAATTTCATCCTCAAAAACTTGAAAACATTATACAACATCCTTGTATAAGAAGCTTTTATTGAGCTATACTCCACGAATAAATGTTGAGGAACAGGCACTTCAACTAAAAATAGTATCATTAATAGCAGTTATGTAATCAATACTATATACTTTGAGGTGATGATGGTTGTGAAGATGAATTACTAGTAACTTCAGTATCAGCAGTACTACCTATAAAAGAAAAGGATAATAAACGAACTATTTATGTATGTATTAATGACATAAAATACATACCAGATTGTGTTGTATTGGTTTCATTGGCATTACTTGTATTATCTATAGACATTAATGAATTAATTAAATCAATTAATTAATTATTAATACCTTGTGGATGATCTTTAATAGTCTCAGGAACGACATCCACTTCAAGAGTAGAAAAATAATTACCTAAACACATACATGTAATAAAAAAGGATACACTAAATAGTATAATTAGGACATTACTCCTGTTTCCCACCACATATGA